ACACACATACACACAAACACACACAAACACACACAAACATACATACACGCACTATCACAGATGCATCATCAGATTTAAGGTGGACCGCGGCTGGAGAACGGTACGGTTCGATTTTTTACATTCCTAATATATACGTATATGCATATGAGTGTTGCTAAAGAATGTTGAGGCTTCTTCTAGCCGCTAACAATTGATAAGCCAAATGGTTGCCATGATGACGGAGAAGAAGCGGTCCTCCTCCATCGGGATCTTCACCAGCACAGCAGTGAGGATGAAGAGGAGCAGGATGAAGACCAGACTGCCTGCTATCCTCATCTTCTCTGAGATCCTGGAACACAAATGATCAGGTACACATGACTGGTTTAAGAACACACTTCATCCCTTAATGCTTTATTGCTTATTATATTATTGCACAAGTGTTGTTGCAACTGTTGTCCTTTTGAATGATGCACTATACATTTAGAATGCATTCCATAACTACATTAAGCATCATGTCAAGTGCATGTGGTTTGTGTGCTCCGTTCTCACCACTGATAGAGAACAGAGTTGAGCAAAGTGAAGAGCAGCAAAGGCAGCTGGGACAGCAGAGTCATCCAGTTATTGAAATAATACTCCTTCCTGGTGGTTACTGTTCCATTACTCCATTCAGACGTGTTGAGTCTGTTGTTGAAATAATGTAAAAAACAAAACAAATATTAAACAAGCCATTTTAACACTGCAATATAAACAAACGCAACACTATGGCCTGGAAAACTCAACACTAACGATCGAGCAACACTGATTTTAATTGACAGTTGATGCAGATAACCTATATACATCACCATCATTTGCTTTAAAGACAGTAAATAACATGCATAAATTCAGCTATTTAATTATAATTAATAATTTCAACTTGATAAATTATTGTAAAATAATAGATAGCATTAGATAGCAACTTCTTGATTATGTAATTACATATAGTTATATTAATATTATATATAATAACATTATTAAATACTACTATACACACACACCTAAATTTCTCTATTCATGAAATTACTTAAAACACACCCTGAGAAACATTAATAAATATTAAACTAGCATTTAGTGATGCATTTCATTTAGCATTAAAGCACATGAATGACTGGTGCACATTTTGCTTTTCAGAGTGATACAAATTCACGAGACGTGGTGTGAAATGTGCAATTTCCAATTCACGTTTCGTGATTTTTACCTTGATGCATCTCAAATATGACTGTTCTGCTAAATATCATTGCTTAAAAAAAACACACACACTGGAAAATGTAAACCATTCAAATTAAATGTAATTTGGTCATAATATTACACTTATAGTGAGTGCAGGAACATAAGATAAAACTCTAGTCTAATCAGTTCAGTCCTGGCTGTTAGCAGCCTAATTAGTGAACTTATTGGAGAATTCAGATCGAAACAAGCCCATGAGGGGCTACATGTGCAGGAACTCCTCTCAGCCTAATTAAGTGCCTTTAAGATGGAAACAACTGTGTTGTTCCAGCAAATCTGGCTGAAGGATTTCCTGAGAGCATCCCGTTTGACCAGCGCTGTGCTTAATTCGCATATATGGAATGTTTTCCACATTCCGTTACCATAGACGCCGTCATGAAGAAGTTCCATGGCAACAGCGTTCCCAGGCCAAGGATGAAGAATATGATCCCCACGAGGAAACCACTAGAGAGAAGAGAGAAGACCACAGTCAGCAGGAAGTCTCACGGCCTGTTCATGTCAAACCATCAAATTTTAGTCTGCAGATTTCATTGTTTTTCCAAGAAACGGTTTATGTATCCATGCTATTATCTAACCATAAAATATTTTAAGTATCCATACACTCTTAAGAGTCAGACTACAACAATAAATCCTTATTATTACTATTATTATTATTAGAAGTAAATTTTACTGTATGTAGAAAAACACAGCCCTTATATGGTTCCATTCATATCAACTCAATTATATATACAATTAAACATAGGATGAATGAATAAATGCCGTTGATATACTGTCTGTGCATCCCTAGTTATATAACGTTACCGTTTTTTTAATGTTGAACTAGCTTTTATTTTTATATCTTCACTTTGCATTTTAATTTTAAGTATAGATTTTAGTAACTTTGTTGTATGCATTTGTCATAGTTATTAGTTGTTGTTGTTTTTTTGTAATTTTAGTAATTTAACTTAACTTTCTTTTTTTTCTCATCTAATATTTGTGTTTTATTTCAATTACCAAAAACGTTAAATACCTTTTACATTTTAGAAATGTTAACATCTGGAACAGCTTTAGTTGACAATAGCAACACTGCTTACAGACTGGTTACATTGTCATTTTTAATAAATCTTAACTTAGCTAATCTACTTGGAGTTAAACTTGTTAATTGACCCTCTGAAAAGTAAACCGGAGACACTTACAAGACTTCAAATGCACCTGCATTCACAAAATGAAAAAAAAAAACTGAATGTAAACCATCTCAATTAATAACCATGAGTTTAATATTAAGAGAAAAAAACAACAATTATGGCTTGTATAATAAGTGAACTTTGCAACACACATGCAGAATATAACAGAATATGGCAATGGGAGAAAGCTATTAGCTTGATTACAGTCTGTTCTGTTGACTCACTTGAGTGCTTTTAGAGCAATTAAACTCAGTCCCTGCCCTTGTTCAAAATCACATATTATGATTCACTTATGAATCATTATGATTTTAGTTTGGGTGAATTGTTTTATGAAAATCCACAGTGAAAAAAATACCGGTCTGCAGGGGCGTCTTCTCTTGGGCTCATTTTGTACAGGTGGCAGCTGTCGAAAAACTAAACATTAAATCATTAAAACACAATTCAAGCTTTACGTCACATCCCTCAGCTACAGCTTCAGCCACAGTTTCACTCAATACACAAGAGCTCAGAGCGACTCCCACAATGTCGGCTCTTTAAATAGTCACAGTTCCCTAAAACATCTGTGAAACAATCCAAACACTGGTCTAAAAACAGCTTTCGGCTGCCTCAAAGGTCAAGTGCAGAAAAGAGCAAGAAAAATACACACTTTACCTTCCTTTACTCCAAATACAGAAAAGATCTAGGTGACGTACTGCAGTCCCTTCACAGAACTGACTGTCCAAAAAAAAAACGTCTGTACATGAGTGCTTTAACTGTTTAACTACACTAAACGTGAGTGTGCATGTGGACAAAAACGGTGTTTCTGTGAGAAAAGGGGAAGAGAGAGTAGGAGGAGCTTTCACGTCACAGCAGGTTTTCAGTTTCTCACACACTCACACACACACACACACTCACACACACTCACACTCAC